AGAAGTAAATGGCTTCTCTTTACAATTCTTATATAAACCAGCACTCCTTACAACTCTGGATCTGCTACTCTCAGCAAATCCGACGCGACGCTACGAAAAAGAAAGACACATGTTACGTGTCAATATTGCTTTATGTTGATATCGAATATCGAATATTGAAATATTGAATTTCGTTAAGCAGATCAGGAAAAACTTGTATGTCCGTGAACGTAAGAGCGAAATAGACGTGCGTTATTCATCGGTTCGTACGAATGCGGGTCGACACAGGTCGGCAACGAATCTACTTCCTGCGGATTTCCGATCGCATCTGTACGCATGCCGACGACGACGGCTGATCCTGACTTAGAAACAACTGCCGCGAACACGAACGTACGCGTCAACGGCGAATCGGCTTAATGCGACAAGTGTGGTTAAACACGATACCATCAAGCCGATTCCACGTTAATAAGGCTGGTGACTCCCTAATTAGTAGTGTCCCTACATTATTGAACTTTTGTGTATAGCTTCTTTATCTTGAAACATATTCACCTACTATCTTCTTCCTACAGCTAGTCAACAAGGACGGTACATGGGTTAGGTTGAGCGCGGAATCAATTCGTGCGTACACAGATGGTTGCATGAGCGTCGCGTGGTGCCTACAACACCATCGGCATCTCGATAAAGTATTGCTGGTAGCGGTTGAACCGTGCACACCTCCTCAGGTACGTAACAGTGTGAATTTGTCATCTTTTTTTCAATTAAATGTATTTGTAAGTATATTTCGTGGTACCCTGACGCCTGATGTTTTCGACGATACAAGATAATATATACGTAGTCGTGCTGAGTTTACAATTTCAATATCTTCCTTCTCTAACACTTCAAAGTATTGTTGAGTTGACGTACTTAAGTTTGGGACAATTTGTGACATATGATATAACTTGATTTTGGTACTGAGTATTTCTTGCTTTATTCGTTCAGATGGAGTACACCGGTGTTTGGAGTGGCTACGGTGACTCTCAAGGCGACATGCATTCGTGGACTCACGAAGAAGACATCGACGGTGGACCGAGTGGCGAGTTCTTTATAATTACAATGCCTGTTTTTATAATTTAAATTATATGTGAATAAAACTTCTTAATTGTTTTTTTCTCACTTAGGTGTAGAAGACAGAGTAGGAGGAGGTGGTACACAAAATGAAGCGGGAAGTGAGGTAAACATATTATTTTGTTTTCGTTCTTTATGGCTATGGTATAATATAAGGGACATTCTGAATACCAAATAACATTTAATGATTTTTATTGTGAGCTGTATTAAAGGCTTTACAATCAAAGCATACAAACTATTTTTTTAACATGTAAATATATATGTATATATTTACACATATTCATAAATAAATAAATACTTAAATCTGCGTTCATTTCACAGAGTGATAGCAGCTCAAGCCCTTTCGTATTTGGCTTGGAGCCCAGCAAACGAATTAGGAACATTCGCAATGAAGCCGCCGCTTTAGCTTCGCCAAAGTAAGTATCGTTACTGTACTTTTTATTACGTCACTTTCTGTGTTTTGTTCATTGACCTACCAACAAGTGGACGTCGGGTTCGCGCTAAAAAGTGTCCGCACCTATAGGGCGTTAAAATCGCATACAGAGCGTCAATCGCGCAATAGTCTTCGTTTGTTCGACTCGCGCGGTTGTCAATCATGCAATACTTTATATAATAATAAAAGCTTGTAAAATTACTGCAGTAAAGTGTAAAAACTGGATTTTGTATCTTATTTTCACTAAACAAATATATTGTCTTATCATAGTTATCATTTAAAAGTGTTATTTTGTACAGTTGTATAGTTTTAATTTATATATAAATTAATCGTAAATATAAATTAAAAAAGCAAACAAAATAATCCAATAGCTAACTGTCCTTTTTCTACACACTGCATGCGCAAAAGATGGAAAGAGACCTATTAAGCCAATTTTAAGAAACTTGTACAAGCTTCTTGGTCATTTTCAATTGTTCGAACCACAAGCGATTGAAATATTTAGAACAAAGAAACTATAGAGTCACTTTGATTATATTCTTATTTTTAAAATGAGTTTTTATTAACCGTTAGCAATAAGTAACAAAATATTGTTGTGCTCGTTACGGCTTGGGATTACCTATCAAAAGTCAGAAAATTTGGAATTTTTTGAAAGCGTAACGGTTTTATTATAAATAGGTTTTCGGAATTACGGATATGTGTGTTTACGTTTAGTTGGAATATCGGTACATTTCTTATAGTACCCGCTTATTTTCACATTTGTAATATTTTTATGTAAGTATCTGCCCAACACTTTATTATTTATTTAAGTGAATTTGTACAAAATTCAACCCAATAATATATATAAAAATTAATTGATATTTACAATAAAGGCTGCTCCAATACTCTTGTATTCAAGTAATTTTCAGTAGAAGCTAAATATGGTGTGTTTGGGACTTTTACATTGTTGCAAGCACAATTAGGCAGTGCGGCAATGACGTTACAATTTAAATTAAACGTTTTAGTTTTTTTTATATTTCGTTACATGTTGTACTATGTTTGTATGGGTTAACTTAGGACATTTTTTTTCGTGGTTTTTGTATTAGACCCGACGTCCATTTGTTGTAGGTCAATGACTTGTTTAAAAAAAAAATTGATGTCAATATTTAAAGCACATCTTTGTAATTTAATTATACTTGTATTAGGCGACAGGACCACGTACGCTGTCATTGTGTAGTGAAATCATTACAGATTCAAAATGGTGGACTTACTAAAATGAGTTGCGTACTTTAGGAAACAATTTATGAGGTACGTGTGTATCACCAGACGCACGATTTGTTCCTCTTGTAACTTGATATTATAAAAAAAATATTCTAGGAATATAAGAGTAGAAGTACGGGCCTAATATGGAATTTTACTGAAAGGCTAAGTATTAGCCTCTATTTTTTTATAAATACCAAATGCTGTAAAAGAATTAAATTAAGTTACGTAATTTTTTAGAATATAGAATTTTTACTTGCCGATACAAAACGTCGAAATTCTGAGTACGTAATATTTTAGACTTTTAGATTTTAACTACAAAAAAATCGTTAAAAGCCAACAACAAAGATCTGCGACAAAACCTACATAGAAAAATTAATAAGGTCCGCTAGTTCTTTCCGTGGCTTAGTTGGCATAGCGTCTGACAAGGTTTGCTGAAGACGTTGGTTCGAATCCAGCCGGAATGAAATAATTTTTTCTAAGTGTTCGATATTTGTATTAATAATTATAACAAATTAGTGTAGTAATTTCACAAAAATAATAGAATATCATGGTAGTCAATCATTGTGACATTCATTAAATTAAAAAAAATAATTTTAACTGTTTCTTGTTATATGTATTGAAAGTAATAAAGAAAAACGGTTGACTCAGTCCTCGGCCTCTGCTTGAAAGGAGGTAGGCCAAACCATTAGGCTTCCACGGCTTTTACATTAACCAAATGGTTACCGCTAATTACAGGTATGAGTTCTTAACCAGTTTTTACCACGGTATGAGTTCTTAACCTATACTTAGTGATGATCATTTAGTTTTATTATAATTTTCAAGCCTTATTAATAACTTGTCCATTTGCAGGTCATCCCCGAGAAAAACCAATGGCAACAGCGACGAGTGGTCGCCTAGCCGACAGCGGTTGAGTGACAATGTGAAAGAGGTCAGCATCCTTATTGAGGTTGGTAGATATTCCTTTTTATAGTTCTTAATTCATTATCAACTTTGCTCGATAATGACACTAGTTTGCTGCAATACAAACTATATAGGGTTTATCGATAGTGTAAATATCGGACAATTGAACTTAATAAGCGTATTATTAAATTTATTTCTTAATTTTGTGCTATTTTTTTGTGTCAGTTAGTTTTTTAGCAGAGTTAACTTTTACCATTTATTGCATACACGTGGGTAAACTAGATTCAAAAACTTGTTATTTTAGTGGCTTTTAAAGTTACACTGTACTTTACAAATGCTAGAACATTTAACGAAGGATATAGACAATGACAAGTGCGGTTTGTGTCATTATTGTTCCAGACTGACATAGAGCCGGAGCTTGAACAGAGAAGTAGCAGTAAACTAGCGCAGACTGGTACTCAGACTTCGCCAGATAGCGTTGGCGAAGAAATTGTAGCCGCTGCTCAGGTTTACATTGGTCCTAGTTGTAGCAAGGTATTTATTTATTTTAAGTCCAGGCAACAACCCTTAAAATACATACCATAAAGACTAACATATATGTGATATAATATAAAACTAGCTAATTATTTACACGAATTACTAATTCTGCCCTCGGAATGAAAAAAACACAACTTTTGATAAAGTACGTATAGTTATGCCATTTTTTGTTACGAGGTTATTATTGTTGGCGATGTGAGGCGCTCTGGTGTCAGGTAACTGGCTTCGGAATCGCCGATATACGACACCCTTCGGCCAAAATTCCTCCTTCTTATAGGTTGACAGATTATTTATAACACGCTTTCTGTTAGCCAATCTTATCTTTCTACAAATCTTTGATTTAATTGACAGATAGATGGAATGGCAACTTTTATCCAGTCTGATTGATGCTAATTAGTTTTTAGTTTATGCACAGTTCATATGAAAAAGGGTATTAATGCCTGGGTAGTGTTACTCGACGTTGAATTCGTTTTTCTGGTTTACGTGGTCTTATTAATTAATAATGTTTTATTACTGTTGCAGTCGTCGACCAGCGATGGCCGACTGAGTCCAAAGAGTATAGCACGTGAACGCATCGCGAAGCGGTCGCGCGCGTACAAGCGCAGCACGTCGCCGCCACCGCTGCCTGCGCGCATGTCTGCACCGCCGCCGCCGCGCAAACATGCACTAAGCCCCGCACAAGTCGAATGTTTGCGTGCTATCTTTGCTGCTTTGCTGTGGCATGAAGGTAAAAAATCATTATTAATTTCTATTATTTTACTTTTATTGAAAAAAAATTCAAATTTATCTTTTCTTTATAGTCAAAAGTCTAATCGGCAAAGTATAGTGTGTAAATTGTAGTTGACATCGTTAAGCAACTGTGATTGACCATACTGCCGCCGTTAGTTGAAAACTTGTGACAAAAACTTAAAACCGAGAATACAATATTTAGGAAATGAAATTTAAAAAAGTATCTACTTTTCTCTTGCAGTAACTTCATATTTTATCCACCTAAGAAAAAATAAAATAGTGACAGATCGGCCTTTTTTGCTGATCTCAGTAGTATACATAACAGTTTTTTTGAAAAAATGTCACATGCGCCGTTTCAACTAACGCCGGCAAAGTCTTTTCCTGTATAAACAAACACATTAATGCTTAGGGGCCACTTATTAAACATCGGCCATAGACGTCAGCTATAACCACTGAATGGAAATCTAGCATTAAGAACAACTACACACAAATAATTCTGTTTAATTTTGTTTCGACACACGTATTTAAAGTACGTTTGGATAATTACTATTGTGGAAAAAAAGTCGCTTGCTTATGGGTCCTATAAACTTTCTAATGTTGAACCATCAGGTATCGTTCACGACGCGATCGCGTGCGCGGCGTTCCTTAAGTTCCACCCTCAGCTGCCGAAGCAAGGCGCTCTCGTTGTCACCCGCTCGCCACACGAAGTCTTGCCACACACTCAAAGACATTCAGTCGAAGTCTCCAATGCTGGTAAGCATACTTCAGTTCTATACTGCATCCACACAATAAACAATATGGCACATGATACAATTTTACATTGATAAATATTTACTAACTATAACTTAAAAAGGATGACAATTGTAGCATTTAGAGTCATCCACATATTTTCATTACTTTACACCTGCACTTTTTAACACTTCAAGGTCAATATTTGCGTATCCATCCGTCTACCCTGGAAACTTTGACTCGCTCTGGGGCCGAAGCCGCAGCGAGTCGTAGCCGTAAAGTTGACAACGCCACTATAACCATAAGGGAAGAAGATCATGTTCATCATACCAGCGAACCAGGTATTTATTGGCATTAAATTGTATCTACGAATTTTTTTAATGAATATCTTTTGAAAAAAATAGTAGCACTTAAGAGCACTGGTGTAACGGATGGCACCTCCACAATATTGTTGCCATAATAGTATTCTTGTTGTCTGTATCGGCTCTAAAGCGAACCGCAGAGTCTAAGTTTTTTCAATATCCGTACAATTTATTATCTTTACTATGTAGTTGAGTTCTTTTTGGTGTATCTATGTAAATATCAGTTTTGAGACCATGCATAATTTTATAACTGTAACGTTTAACAGGAATAATATGATGTATTAAGACAAATACAATTATCTAAATCGTCTATAAAAAAATTTATTGACTTTGATTAGTTAATATCCAAAGTAGGATCATGTTTACACAAACCACGCAATTCACTTCTTAAGCATTTGGTCACAAACATTTGGTTATTCCATTATTGGAACTGTATTTCAATTATTGATTAAATCAATGTACTCGTGTAAGATTCCACTTACCAATGACATATATTAACAACAGTGCCGTCTTCGTCGGTAGTGAATGTGCTACCTCCAGCTCTGCGGGCTCTCGTTGCACTATGGGACGCCCTATTTGATGCGGACGAGCTCGCCCCCGCAACTGACAAGTGAGTACATCCACAAAATCAATAAAATATACGTACAATATTTTTCTTAATGCTTACATGAATTTTCTATATCTAGAAACGATAATTGCAGAAAGAAAGATTTCTCTGAGAAGAACGAAAACGACGATTCCAAGCCAAATAGCGGAATGCGTACGAAAAAGGATTGTCCCAAATCACCAGCCAACAAATCGCCGTACTCAGGTAATGCAGGTAACTAAAATTTTTGTTATCTGTTTAGTATTGGTAAATAAGATTAACAGCTATATTGTCAATATTGCTATGCGAAATTGATTGTCTAATAAGGTCTGATAGTAAAAATCTTAAATGCAAGCTACTGCTCGACCGGCATACATTGACGTATTGTTTCTAACAGACAGATGGCGTTAATATTAATTCGTTAGATTGTTGTAGAGGTCGCTACTAGGTAATTATTAAATGGCAACACCGAATTGCAATGTTGGTGCACCTGCGCACTGGTTAGCTAACGAGGGAAACTCGGTAATTGACACATGGATTATTATGAACAGCTATGGAGTATATATACCCCTGTGTAAAATTTCGCGAGTTGTAACGTTCCTTCAATTAAAATGGTCACGCTATATTTCTGTACTTATAGTTCAATTCACATAGCATGGGTACGGTGACATTTGAAATTTGAAATTTCTAGCAATGTTGTGAAGTATAAAGGAATAAAAAAAAAAATAATTATCTTATCGAGATAATTTGTAACGAAGAGTGAATCGATTTACGGACATTAATTTAAGAACAAATAATAAACAAAATATAAAGGATTCGATTATTATGTTAACAATCTAAAATCAACAGCAACGAAAGGAATTTTGAATAATTACTCCGAAACTGTTATGCAAAATTCAAAACAAAAGAAATCGACTCGCGTGCAAAGTGTATGCAGTCTTTTTGAAGCGAGATACTCGTATGCAATAGCCGATTCGGTTTATCGATTCCATGATGTCAATATCTCACATATTTTTATTTTGTTCTCTTTTCTGTTCTCTTTTCTTTTTTATTATATAATTTGTTTCTATACACTTATAGATTTATTGACCAGAAATTCGGGAGACGGTGGCCTGGTGACCTAAAGCACAGGGTATCCAAGTTTAGGCTCCAGTCTCTACAAACTTTCCTATATACACTACTATTATTTCATTTAATATGTTACAAATTTGTGGAGAAAATAAATAATTTACTTACTAACGTACTAATATAAAATTATTCGAATTTACGCATTAAGTAGTTGGGTTAATTTATATATATTTATTTTTACCTTTATCTTTTTTGTTTATATCTACTTCATATACTGTAATTTTTAGTTAAAATTACAACTCCAACAAAATTAAATGTTGTTTGTTTTTGGTGTATTACAACAAATTTACTATTTCTTTTTGTAAGCTGGTTCTGAGATTAGTTAAAAATAGTACGCATGCAACGTAAAAAATTTAAATATCACAGTATACACATCCTATGTGAAATGAACTACGAGTATAAGTGTATGGAAGTGAAGTACACGGAGTAAACTGATTATAGTTCCATTGAGTAACGTTTTCACGTCTAAATCACCGCAATTGTGATAGACAGTTTCTCCGTAAATGCCGCTTCGGAGTATCCTCCGACATATATATAATAGAGTTAGATGGTTCCCCCCTTGATTTGCAAGTCGCATGAAGGAATTTCAATCTAACGATTATGAGCTGTTAAACTGACTAGTTTGATGAGAGACTTCTCAATTCATGAATTCAGTTCAATATTAGATATACGTGATATTAAAGGCGAGAGATATAATAATAATAATAATAACGCACACACTCAACATAGCCCCGCACTAGGGAAACCCTGTGTCGCGGGTGCCATGGACACACACATAGACAACCACAAATTACAGCCAAACTCACGAGAGAAATGATTGTAGGCCATACAACTATTTCTCCCGGCCCGGGAATCGAACCTGAGAGATATACAACATAATTATGTCTTAAGTAATTTTTCAACTATTTATTTATTTAGATATACTATCGGTACGTAGAGAAACTTACACTGTTTTAACGTAGAAATGCCTATACAGTATGTTATAGGTGTATCCAGCATTTACGAAAAAAAACCTTAATTGTAAAAGAAAATAGAAACAAAAGTACTGTATGGAAAAAAAAGAAAACAAAACCTACTATCTAAGAAATTATTAAAGAAAACAAAACAAAACCCCTAAGACTCCACCTCTAAAGCAGTTGTACATTCCGTTTGAACTTATATAATGAGTCGTGGAAGATGTTAACCTCGTCTGTATTACCGTTATTGAAAATTCTCATGTATCGTAGTACAGTGGAGAAAAATGGCCCACATTAGTACGGGATACAGGACCCGAAAATATATTTCAGTAACGAAACCTTCTTTAAATTTACTATTAACGTTAATGGACTATAGCGCCGTATTTCTGTCAATACTTATACCCACGCTTATTTTATTTTGGTCATGGTGCGATGCTGTACTAAAAATGTTTTCCCGCGAGACTATATTGTAATAAAAAAAAATCTTCGTTTCAGTATTATAAGTACTTCCAACTCGCTGTTAGTGTAAAAAGGTAGATTTCCGTGTTTTCGTAATCCGCTTGTTTATACCCTAACGCGACTTGAATCGTAGAATAAAAGAACCCAAATGTCATGTTGTTATACGTCCTTACGACCAAACTGCATTTTTTGGAATATACTGAACATGTAGTTACGTGATTAAAATCGTGACCCTTGCCCTTGCTCATCGTAAGTGTCTCGACCGACACTCGCCGCTGGTTCCAGTCGCCGGATCATCCTATTCCTAGTTATATTGTTATCTCTTGAAATTCCAATCACTGAATCGTTGGCTAAGTAAATATGTGCATATTTGTGTCACATAATATTCGACAGAGGCGTGAAACCCGACCCCGAAACTTGTGAAATTTCTTACTCCTAATTATAACACAGCCAAAACTATTAGGTTTAGTATACAACTATTGAATTTCATCCTTCATTTTTGTCATTAGTCATTACTAAACCTATGATTCCGTTTATATTATAGGCTTAGTAATAACTAATGATGATTTTGCAGAAGAATAAAACGTGATCATAAATTCAAAACCAAACTAAGTACGGCACCAATTCTACAGTACGCCAATTTCATAAAGCCGTTTATTTTAAGGCGTGACGTATCCAATTACGCCAATTTCATAAAGCCGTTTATTTTAAGGCGTGACGTATCCAATTACCCGGTGTCCACCATCTTATCTGGACATTTTGAATCAGTCACGAAGTTTAAGGAAATTTGAAGGGTTTACTCCGCAACATAGGATTTTTTTCCTTGTTTTATCTATATCTTAGGTACTAATTTTTTGTGGCAATAAAAATTGCGAATAATTGCGGTCCATAAATCGATACGATGGCAAGCATTACAGTGGTTTAAATCTTATAATCCTAAATCTATAAAAAAATTACAACATTTGTACTGATTACACCAGAGCTCTAAATCATAGACTTTAATATAGGGAACAGATGGTTTAACATAATATACAGTCATCTAAACAAAGATCTAAACTTATTATTCACGTTCTAAATCTGTATTACATATTTAGAAAGTTATATCAGTATTCATTTCAGCGTAATACTTGTACAATTATTGCACCCAATAAGGTGTATGTGAATAGTGATTGATGAGGTTGCTTCTAATCGATATCATCGTTAAGTGCAAATTAATTAGTAAATAATATTATTGTTAATTGGTTCACTGTGTGATCTAACTCTGAATCATGAATACAATTTGTGTTATCTAATGTCAACGAGACATTGTGAATGTATTGGTTTTTATCCTATTTAGTACGATGCGAGCTTTGTGGCGGGGCAGGCGTAACGCCTCCACTTGCGGCCCATATGAGGAACAACCACCCGGGATGCCGCGCTCCATCCGTCAAAGGTTACGACCGTGCTGGTTCTTATAAGCAAACCAATCAACTTACGCCGGCTACTAATTCTGTAAACTCAATATGCGGACAGCTCGCTCAAGGTATCATTTGACATTACGTGCTAATATTTCAAATTATACCATCAATGATTGATCTTATGCTGTTAGTGATGTATTGACTACACAACTAGGAAATACAATTACATTTCTTGTACTTACTAAACGTTTTAGTTTTCAAATATATACCACGCAATAATTTTAACGCTTAACATTTTCTATCGGTTTCAAAAATATAATTCGTAATTAAAGTAGTTGATTGTTTCCAGCATATCAACTATGGTACGTATACTGCGAGAAATGTCGCGAGAAAGCTTTAAAAGCTTCGACGTCGGTGGGAAAATCGAAGACGAAGATGCTACAGGAGTTGGGTTACGACCATGTTGACATGCATCAATCGGAAGTCGATCATCACGTCATGAAGGAAAACGCCGTATTCCTATTGGACCTTGCACCACTAACTAATTCTGGTGAGATAATAATTTATATATGCAACAGTGTTGAATTGTTTAATGAGGATATTTATTCCATAACGTTCATTTTTTAGAATCGCTGAGCACGTCTCCTTGGTACGAAGGCTCTGGACGGAGTCCTCCAACGCCTCCGGGCAGCATGTGGCAGCCGGCGCCGCCATTCCAGTGCCTAGCTGCTTTGGGCGCTGCTCCTAAGATGAACGCCAAAGCTGATGCGGCTCGCTATCATTCCTTGGGACGACCTCCGCCACCCGCTGCTGCTCCTATTGTGAGTTCTAAACGATAAAAAAAATCGAAATATTTTACGTTTGAAATAGCATCAGTTATACAATATTTTTTTCACAGACTACTCAGTACGCTACTGAGCTGAATTTAAACTCGCAATGGCCAAGGGTCCATCGGTCTGTATCCATGGGACAAGCGGGAGCCAGGGACTTGGCACAGGCCGCGCACCCTCCACTCACCAGGAATATACAGACAGAAACTCAGGATACACTCTCAGGTATGTCTACCGCAGTATAGTATTAATCGTATTATGATTAATCCATATGCGTCTACGTTTTGGGAGAAAAACGTGTTCAAGAAATACAGTCGCTCCTTGCATATCATGTGAAGTTGACTCCGCTTGCGGTCCCTCAGACTTATAATACGTGATTTATATATATATATATATATATAACAGGTGCCGGATCATCGCTACTGGCCCAACCCAGCGCAGCACTACAGAAGTTAGTCGGTAGCAGGGAATATGACGGCGAGAGCTGCTCGGTTTCCGCATTTGAATCTCCTACTATTGACCCTAATACACTCGTGCAAAGCCCTGTGTTGACTTTCGTTTTGGCACGTAGAGACTTACACTCGTATCGACAGAAGATGGATGCAGCCATAAGAATAAACACTATTAGACAATACGCCTTTGAGGTGAGTGACTTGATCAATTACTTACAGTGATCATGTAGTTTATCTTGGTCACTAACTAGCCCTATCACTCTAAATGACCGAAGTTAAAATTTATCTAACATAACAAAAAAAAAACGTACATATGCTGCTAATATGTCTTAGTGCAACAATTTGAAATACATTGAAAAATATTTTATCGCCGCATACGATTACATTTATAATATTAATTATTGTTGTAGGCATTGAACTGGATACTGCGTTCGGCCACGCAGCCAACAGGTGTTCACGACGTTATGTGGTGGTTCTGTAGTGCATTGGATAAGTACGCTCGTATCGTGCCACCACCTCTTGCACTGGACGACAACAAAGAGGTAAAAAATCCTAACATGACGCCGCGTTTCTAAAATTATGTCCGGGATTTAATTGTAGGCCATAACTCTAATACTATTTTGTATCTGATGTTTGTGCGTGAGCCTCACTTGTGAACTTACAACAAATTTATTGTACCTAAGCATCTGAGAAGTATTCTTCTTTAAATATGGGGGAAACACCGTGAGTGTTGGAACAACATATCCAACTATTTCCTAATATCCTCTTAGAGCATTGGGACCGATGCTCAGCAGTAAATAATAAACTAATATGTTACATACAATACTATTTACTTAACGTCAATCGTACTCCTGTATTTAATGTTTCCTAGTAAATAGCCTGCTATTCGCCTATACGTAACTCTTTTCACAGAACGCAGCAAACGATCCAAACCGCGTCATAGTTCCCACCGCATCAGCGTCGGCCATATGCCCGGGTGGCCGCTCCGCCCGTGGCGCGCGCGCCGCTTTTCATGCTTTCCTCGGCTCAGTGAGCGCACTCGCTCCCTTTCTTCCACCAGCCAGTGCCGCTGGCCTGCAAGCAGTCAGATGTTGGGCGCTCTATTTCTCACCACATGATCGAGCCTTCTTGCACAGGTGATACTTTTGAAATAGTAAAACCAATGAGACATTTATTCTTACTTGAGGTATGGTTAAGATTTAAAACAAATGTATCTCTCAGTACAGTAATAATACATCACTTAGTAATGTATTTAAAAAAATACATTTTTCAGTAGCTTATGGAAGCGTCGTAAATAGTTATTCTGATTACTAATTAGCTTCTGCTCTACATTCTTACATTTAGCTTAAACTATATATAATCTCATGTATATTGTTTGAAACAGTTATTAATCATTTGTTTCGTAACTCTCACTATATAAATCCATCAATGAACAAATTTGATATGGTATTTTTATTGGCGTGGCTTTAAAATTTTGTTTCAACCGTTAACGCTGCACGGACTCAGATCTCAAGTGTTTAGTGTGATAAGCAAGATTCTGTCCCACTCAGAAGACAGCATCTACGAGGACGGTATGTTGGGAGCTTTACATGAGAGCTTCCACAGTTATCTTAGTAAGGTAAGTACATGAAAGGATGATTTTACGAGTATGGTTTGATGAATTAGCGATTGTTGATGCGATGCGTCTGTGTGAATATTACACATTAAACAGTTTTTTTGACGGTAGAATACATAACATTGTGCCAAAAATTTTCATGAATTTTTGTATGGAATTTGAGACAGTAACATGCGCCATCTATTTAGAAAGTAAAACAACCATCTCAATTAAACTTCATGGTCATACCACTACCATGTAGTATCCTTAAAAACAATTTCATGTGTGTGGTTCACATTAACTTTGGTTGAGTTCTGTATTGTACCACCACATACCACCACAATAATTTTAGCAGGTTGGATATTGTTATTTAAATGAACATAAAATGGTATATATGTAGAGTGAAACAAAATATAGTGTTTTGTACTACAATTTACTTTTAATGCCAGCTCCACACGTTTGCCGATTGTCACAAGCCCGAAACGTCTACAAACGCTTGATGAATCCACACGCCCAAAGAGGCAAGCATGGCGGACGTCGAATTTGTGTCTGCTATTTCGGCTTGACCTATTTTTATTAAAAAAAGAAGCAAGATGAAAGGACACGTGCATCTGCTACTTTTACTTTGTCTTTATGGTCCTTATGCCTCGGATTTCAAATGTAAGGTTTTGCTTGGTAGCACTCCAGAAAGAATAAAATAGTCTCGTTTGACCAGCCACCTCCGGAAAGTTATCACTTATATTTACACAGATTACAATAGTTGGTTTTAAATTCTTTCGGCTAAGGAAAAGGCAAAGGTTTAAAACCTTACAGACATGTTTATAAAGACAGTATAGCGTCATCTTTTCTTAAATATTGTACGACATAGCCATCATCCCAACGTAGCAGAAAAGAAACCTTATCTGTCGACAGTTTTCAAATAATATTAACTAGCACAAACGTATGGATACGCGACACACGCTAGCCGCAAACTTCTTTTGATTTGTGCACAAAAACCGACACTTGAACGGATCGGCGGCAAACACATGTAAGCTCGCGCAAACACCGCGCAATCACACGTTTGTGCTTGCGCGCGCTTACCACGGCTAGGCAAGCGTGTAGAACCGGCGTAACGGTTGGCTGTAAAATGACAAAGTAACCATTACATTGTAAATAGGATATTTCACATATAGCGAGAATATTTCCCAAATTGCGAAATTTACGCAACAAGTTGATGTTACAAAACCATTTTGTTTTTTCATATATGACGAAATATTCCGTTTGTGGGTTGCTCGACACATTTTATTGATAGTCAATCAGGGAAGCTCGTTTTGGTGAAAATATCTTAAAATTTCTTAAATTTCCAGAATTTATGGAAAAATATCTTATTGTCTAGTTTTATCAGCATCATCACCATCATTTTAGCCGAAAGACGTCCACACGACGATGGTGATGATTATTATTATGATGGCGATGATGACGGGAATAATGATGATTGATGATAATGATGGTGATGGTGGTATTGATTATTATGATGATGTTGGTAGTAGTGGTGATGATAGTGGTGATGGTGATCATGGTGAGATGGTGGTGGTGATGTTTACGATGATGCTGCAGCAGCTGACAATGGTGATGTTGACGGATGATGATAATTATATGTGCTAGTCTACTACACCGAAACCTGGTCCAAATTAGTGAATTCCCTATACTATGAGTACCAAACAAACAATCAAAGCAATAGAATTTCTATGGGGTACTACTTAGAACGCCTTGATCAGAACTAATTCACATAGGTTCATTTCCCATATTGGTCTTACCGGGAATCGCACCCGGGTCCTCCTTATACCTTAAGCATGTCGACGAGTTCTGTTATCAAAATCAAATGAAAAAAAAAAAAAAAAAAAAAAAAAAAAAAAAAAAACATTTTTTGTACTGTTTCAAGATGCCATTTCTAAAAATTTTCTGTGTCGCCTTCGTAACTATATTAGGACCTATGAAATTGCCGTTTTATATAGAGAGAATTTTCTACGAAAAATTTATATTTAATTAATCCAAGTATTGACCATTATTGTCTATGCACTTTTGCCATTTTAATGGAATTTCATTGATGCCACTGCTATGACAGTCCTAGGAACGGTAATCGATGAACTGTTTGAAGGCATTTTTCTCCATCTCATCGGAATTGAATTTTTTTTCCTGTAAAAAGCTATCCAATTTCCAAAAAAAATAAAAGTCAGTTGTAGCAAGGTTTGGTGAATATGGTGGGTGACGGAGAGCTTCCAGTCGTAACTCCTGTGGGTTTGAGAAGGTCCGATGTGAGGTATGTCGACGAGCGTTGTCGTGAAGAAGGCGTGGACTAGAGTAATTGACAATTAGTCTGGATTGTTTGATAGCAAACTTGTCCATCTTCAGTTGCATTTCTTCACAGTACACCTCTGCAGTAATTGTTGTGCTAGGTCTCAAGAAGCTGTTATGAACAATGTCGGGTAGGTCTACTCAGGAGCAGGTTCTTCTGACTCAATCTCCTCTGCAGTAATTGTTGTGCTAGGTCTCAAGAAGCTGTAATGAACAATGTCGGATAGGTCGACTCAGGAGCAGGTTCTTCTGACTCAATCTGCGTTTGGGACATGGTTTGTCTGCCTTATCTGTGGCCAACCAGTAAGATGGACGTTTTCGATTGTTTTGCAAGATCAGTGAAACGTGTTTCATCACAAGTGCCAATGCAATTCAGAATCCCCTCATTTGAGTGCCTATTCAACCAGTTAAGCCAAGCTTCGGCGCGATTTTGTTGTTGTTGTTCAGTGAGTTCACGGTACGGCACCTACTTTCTCAGCTTTTTATGTTTACAAACTTGACGCAAATTAATCAATATAGTTTTATCACTTACATTGAAAGCTCTTGCTAATTCCGACGTTGTTTGTGATGAATCTGCTTCCATTATGGCTTTCAATTCATCGTTATCAACTTTCGTATCCGGTCGGTCATGGGGCTCATTGATGAGATCAAAATTTCCAGAATGGAAGCGATCAGGCCAAAAACGTGCTGTGCTCTTACTTCTGCTTACCGTCTGTGCTGCGTTGGTGCCACGACATACCTCATATTCGAAAATAACACGCAATTTCGGTTTTTCCATTACCACAGAAACGACGAAATCAAAGATAAATCGGACCCCAGAAAAACAAAGGAATAACTAATTATTAAAAAGAAATATCATAGCTATATTATAACTATAGTTTTAATTTGAAACTCTAAAGTAAAATGAAAGATATCGAACTTCAAAGTTCCCAGTATTTGCAATCGGCAATTTCATAGGTAAGAAAGGTAAGGTTAACTCATATGCTAATATATAATATTAGCGCATAAAAACGGTAAAATCTATAACATATCAATTACATATTATATTTTAGTCGTTCTGCTGACGCTTGACAAATTTATAGAAAACTTTCCATGCAATTTACGGAAATTTAAGGAAACTTATGGAAATGTATTCATTTACGCAAGTTTTTTTAAAACTTTGATTTTACAACCATGCTGTAGAACTATAATTCCATTTAATATTTCTTAAATATGCGATAATAAAAGTAAGCAATAAATATGTAAATTTCCATAAATTTCTTATTTTGAAAATATTTCCGAAATATTTCAGGAAAGTATCCGACCGGAAAGTTTCCAATTTCGGAGTCTCCAGCTGCCCATGACTAATAAAAAAAAATTGTAACTCTGAAAGTACTGTCTATTTTATATGAAAATTCTTGTCTTCTAACAACAGGAAAGCTTTGTTTGGAATTGTCCTGATGTGACGGGTTGGTGTGACATCACCGTGTCTTCCCGACAAGGAATGGCGGGTGCGCTCACTGATGGCAGCACTGAGACCTTCTGGGAGTCCGGCGACGAAGACAGGAATAAGGCGAAGTGGATACAGGTCTCATACCCGGGAGGAACTCCAGACGATAGACCGCACATTATATGTGTCCATGTTGATAATACCAGGGACACAGTGGTAAGTCTTTTGAGAATTTTAGCATGCGTATCTTTTAGAGTGTTGCAGTTATATTTTGTGGCGCGTTTTATGTTGATGGTTTACACAGTGAACACATTTTCAGAACAAAACGCTGCTTGTGTCGTTCCTGTTTAGCGGCGGTTCCACTGAAATGTTTCACATGCAAGATATTGAAGTTGACTCTAAAGCGGCTGCTTGGCTCTGTTATACTTTACCAAGTAAGTAACAGTGTATACTTTTGCCATATTTATTTATTGAATATCATAACGTTTTGTGTATAATAATTACTTTTTTATATTAAAACAAAATATGGACCAGCGCCTTTCGAGTGTTACTCTCGTTTTCTTTACCCTAGACCATTTTCGGGTTCTAGATCAAGTATTAATTTTTTGTAAAGTAGGATTGGAGCGATATTGGAGCGAGAGAGAGATATGCTTTTTTTCAATAGGATTAACAACGTCAGCTCTGCGAGTTCGCTGCGAGCTCCGCGGGCCGGAGCCGGCAGTCCGTGTTCGGCAGGTGCGGGTGCTGAGCGCGCCCACCCCACAGCCTGCTGCCGCAGCCAGTCCAGCGCATATCCTGCACTCATTGTCTGAAACTGATACCTTGAGAGTATTTCGATTACTGACGTCACAAGTAAGCTATATACAAACAGTATAATTTTAAGAAAATAAAGATTAAATTACAAACATGCTACTGTAAAGCCTTACCTAAAATAAATGCAAAATTAGATTGTAATGTTGCATTTCGATTCTCAGTGAATAAAATTCAATTGATCTCAGTCGTGGCTTAGGCAAACATGTTGTAGTAGATTGTGTTTTATTTGAATCCACGTAAATATACTGAATACAAACCTTGTACTGTATTATTCATTTGCATAATTTCATTCTTTTCAGGTGTTCGGTAAACTATTGGAATGGGATCGCAGCGGCAGTGAAAGCAACGGCGAAGGCGCGTCTGCCACTGACGACACGGTTATGCCTGATGACAGCGATTTGCGGGAACATGTCGTCGGGATTCTGTTTGCGGGACATAAGCTGACATCGTTACAACGACAGGTTAGTTTCAAAAATAGTAATAGTGACTTCTTTAAAATGAAATAATTAAAAAATGCTAGTTTTTGTTTACATTGAATTTTCTCAAAAATTTCAAACTAAGTTGTGAAGAATGAAACTTTGCACTTAACGGAATCTATGCATTTTTATAACATTGTCTTTCAATTGTATCTACCATCTATGTTTAACAGGTAATGACGCATATAGTTTGCGCAATTGGATGCGAAGCAGCACGAGCTCGCGACGACTGGGAGACTGCTTTACTCTGCGCCGAGGCGGAGAGAGCGGACGAGATGCACTCTCGACCGGCCAATGCCCATTTGCAAGATAATTATTGTTTTGAGATGCTTTCGCTGGTGAGTACCGTGTATTACTCAATCATGTCATCCCAGACCAGGTTCTCCTTGAGGGTGAACTCATAAAATTTTGCAATGTTACAAAATTATTCAACAATCAATGTTTGTTACTTACTATGACGTTGAAAGAAACTATATTGTAACGGAAACTTTGTACAGTTGTAAAAATTATACATATGAACAACGTTTAGTCTAAAATTGAATTGAATTGAATCGCTTAGAAATTAGGAGTATATTATTGTATTTATTTATTTGCAGCTACTGGCGTTGAGTGGCAGCGCTGTAGGTCGTGCACATTTAGCGCAGCGCACTGAACTTCTCGCAGACTTATTGAGTCTCTTGCATACTGGAAGTGAACGCGTTCAGAGACAAGTAAGTTTAACTTATTCGGTTTTGCACAAATTTTAACGTTTTTAACTTCTTTGCCTGATGATCGCCTGCCATTTTTTGCGGTTATTTCTCTGTTCGCCCGGTTCTTTCGTCCCTTTAAATCGGCGCACTTTGAGTATTTGATTCTTCGAAAGGGGAACAAATCAACAGTATTTCCAGATATGAGGAACTAGACTCTATTCCCCATTCATACGAGTAAATATATTATTACTTGCTACATCCTGAAGAGGTTATTTGTACGACAAGAAACTCAGACGCGTAGGCTATTGCCTCTGCTTTAAACATTACTTGTGACACTTAATTAATTTTTGAATATCTTTATAATCCTCGTTTATACATACTGGTCTATCCTTGATTCTTACTGATCGTAGTAGCTGTAATAGCACTAATTGTTTTATGCAGGCATATATGCTAATTGCAGGTCATATCGTTATTGCGGAGAATAATTACTGAAATGCCGCCCCAGAAAATGCTGGCAGCTGTGAATTATGGCAATGAATTGTCATTAAGGTAAAGGGATTTATATATTTTGCATGCCGTTAGAATTTGAAATTTATTTGTAATTGTGAATGGACTTATTGCTAGGAGCGTTTTTTTAACCTTTTCAACAAACTTTCAGAGTAACTCTTCTAGACCACCTTGTGTGCTACCTGGGCAAGGCAATAACGGTTCAAGTGAAAGTGAAAGGAGCCAGTGGAGTTGCACCTAGTACAGTGATGATGGGGACCAGTATCATCCCCACGTCTCTAACCCCTTGGTTTTTGAGGGGCGAAACTACTAAGAAACACGCCCATCTTGTTGCTCGGTTGCTCTCTGATATGGCCGAGGTATGTATGGCTTGAACAATATATTATGTATTCCAAAACCAGGGGCCCGCGTTGTACTGTGCGACTGCCTGTGCGGTTAAATGAAATTTTAGCCCTACAATGGAACGTAAATTGATTTGTTGTCTTATTATGATCTTCGTGTATTTGAATGTTGTATTATTCTGGGCAGGACAAGGTGTCTCCTCAGTGGAGTCTCGAGACCCGTACAGCCTTGGCGAGCTATGTCGCCGCCACGGCGCAGGTGCCGGAGAAGGACCGTAGCTCGTCACGCTGCGTCGCTTCGCCTGCACTGTGGAAAGCGCTTGCCGCGTTGTGCGTTTGCGAGCAAGAACACATGGAAATGTAAGTTTACCATTTTTTTTCTAGTATATTACGTTTTTTAATGGAATGTTATAATAGCCATCGAAATATACGACATTAGCGCGTATTCGTTCATATTCGTTCCGAATCCGAGATTATACAAAAAACTCGGACCCACTTCGGCTGTCGCTTATGCACCAAGTCCGATTAGAATCCGAGAAAACACGAATATCGCTTGTACATCTAGAAATAAAATGATCCCTTTGACATTTCGGACCGTCATTTCTCGGATTCGGAACTGATACCTCTCTGATACGATATCGGACGTTGTGCGCAAAGGCTCTTACAGTCCACATAGTAATAGTGATGTCATAATTCAATTTACATAATGATATTTACAAAATTATTAAATATAACTATGTGTGAAATATATGAAATTGACAAACTACTTGCTTGTTTTGATTGTTATAGAATTCACGGTGATGGTGACAGTCGCGGACGGGATTCGGGTGGGGAGTCTCGACCGTACTGCGCAAATCACGACGATGGTTCAACTATCGCCGTAATCGATTGCCGTACTTGTGGCCCGCTCTGCGCAGAGTGCGACCGCTTCTTACATCTCAATAGGACCGCCCGGACTCATCATAGACAGGTTAGTTCCAAATGATAGTATACTATGCCAACGTGTATTTGCCTTACTGTTCGTTCACCTTAAAGAAAAGGTTGTGGTGGCCGACTTCGCTAATTAATATTATATATTTTGTTATTAGCTAAAAGATCATTTATAATATTTTTTTGTTAACTCGCGATACATAGCGTTGTTAAGATGCGGATAGAAACTTAGCTAAATTTTTGACGATCGATAGTAATATCACTTATTTTATTAGCGACCATGTGATGATTACCAAGGTTAAAATTGAATTAAATTTGTAGGCCTAATTCTAATTCCCTAGTGTCGTGTGGCAAAAAATACGTTGTCGATCGTTTGTTGCTTACATGTAACCATCGTTGCCAATGCCAAACGTTCAAAATCCTCAAATGTCCCGCGATACAGGTTTCCGTAATGCGGGGCAAAGAATTTGCGGGGCACCATTTATTCGATTTTGTCTGATCACAGGTGTCGATCTCCAAAAAAATCGAGCAAATCCATAGGCACCATTAGTTTGGACTCTTTTTTACACTAACTTCTCTTTGTTTATGACAGATTTGCAAGGAAGAAGAAAGCGCAATACGTATCGACGTTCATGAAGGCTGCGGGAGAGCTAAACTCTTTTGGTTGTTATTGTTAGTCGACCGTCGAACACTCAAGGCTTTGGCCGAGTTCCGTGGGATGGAAAACGGAGTACGTGAAGGCTCGCCTAACACAGAAGGTGTAGTGGCGACGTCTGGTCCGGCAGGGCTGGCGGGTACGTGCCGCTTTTGCGGAACAAGGGGCAACTCAGGACTCTTAGCCATTGGCAATGTCTGCGCTGATCAACAGTGTCAGGTACGATTACATATCCTTTATATAGTTGCATGTTTCTAGTGAGAGCTACGAGTTTCGGCCGCATTGCGTAAACCGTGACGACGGTTGCACTACCTGTTATCGATTGTCACACCTGCAACCGTTGTTTGTTGCAAAATGACATGACTTTATTTTCTTACTAACATTACACCGATTGTTTATACCTGCCCTACGTGAAATAAAATCAGGGCCTTAAATTGTAATTTATGTCTTATGTTTTGTAGGAGCACGGTGGTGAAGCTTGCAACCACGTGCTCGCGTGTGGGCACCAGTGCGGTGGCGTGCGCGGTGAACGTGCATGCCTGCCCTGTCTGTTCGGTTGCGGAGGGGCGGAAGGTGACACGCCACTGCGGCAGGACGCTGACGACATGTGCATGATCTGTTTCACTGATCCCTTACAGGCCGCTCCCGCCTTACAGGTGGGATTTTAGTTCACTTATTGCTTCTAATTATTTCAGGAATGCATTTAATTTGTTTAACAAAAGATCAAAGCTGTCAAAATATGAGCTCACGGCACCCACCCAGGGTTTTCCTAGTGCGGGGATAAAAAAAAATTGTATTAAAAATATGTATGAAACGTAAATTATATAATTCACTCCAACTTGGACAATTATTTAGATTTATCAACGTAACGTTATATATTGTGTAAACGTATATTACAAGTCGATACATTATCAGCATAAATATTTATGCGTTATTATAACAATAGTAGATAATACAAATACACGCATAGTTTGTTCCACGCACAAAATATTTATGTCCATAATTTATCAAAACAAAAAGAATGTAGTTACATCACTAGCTCACAACTGCAACATTTGCAAAAATTACGATATCGTAGATGATGTATTATACTGCTGCGGTTTCTAACACTATAGATATTTGAGAGCTTAAAAAACAGCAATGGTAGCTTAGCATTGACGACAACACGAATCATCTGATTGTCATAGTGAATAATTTTATTTTAATAAAAAGCATTTGTGCCTTAATATAAACTTACCGGTGAAATAATAATATAAACTTCCTTTATATAATTCCTAATTCCTAATATAGTTCCCGGGGAGTCTCAAATAACAATTATTTATGACGACTTTTCATCCCCACAGCTAAAATGCGGACACGTATTCCATTTGCACTGCTGCAAGAAGGTGCTTGCTAACAAATGGATCGGCCCAAGAATCACCTTTTCCTTCTCACAATGTCCCATTTGCAAGGTAAGGCACTCGGTACTCACATCATGTCATATAGTATTAGTAAACTATACAAACACTTTTAAGTATACAAAGGTGTAATGTTCAAATACACTTGAAAATTTTATTATTCAACACAGTTTTCCACACAACAATAATGCTGTTAGCCTATGGATCTCACTTATTCTGAGCCCACAAAATGAGTGTCATAGTCGATTACATACATCTACTTGTGTGATAAAACGAAACTACACGTTGTGAACATGTAGCGCGCAAGACGCCAACGCCAGCTTTGTTTCTCATTGGCGTCTTGTTTTCGATCTGTGCCGATGTATTCTAAAATTACAGCAAAAATTTACTTTCTTAAAATAAATAGTATCAAAAATATGTTCAAATTTGATATAAAAAAGTGAGAGATATTATATACATATAAGTTATTTATATCCGCCAGTCGGCAGGGCTTAAATATGATCAGAAGTGAATCAGATAATAAATATACATTATTTGTTTTAATGTTTCCAGGAGGACATGAATCATTGGACATTAGATGAGCTTTTGACACCAATACGACGTCTACGCGATGAAGTGAGACGTAAAGCATTGATGCGTCTCGAGTACGAAGGACTCGCCGCCCCGGGTGGCGCCAAAGGGCACATGCTACCAGACCCCGCTACCTACGCCATGGAACGCTATGCGTACTACGTCTGTCATAAGTGTGGAAAGGTGGGAAAGATTTCTATCATTTATATTTAGTTACATGAGTTATTCAGTTTTATCTTAAAATACAATTATAAACAAAAGATCTATAGATATGTCACCTACGAAATTATACGGTTTTTTGTACGATAGGCATATTTCGGTGGTTTGGCCCGGTGTGAGGCGGAGACCAGCGGGTGGTGGGAGCCGGCAGAGCTGGTGTGCGGCGCGTGCAGCGACGTTGCCGGCGCACGTACATGCCCCAAACACGGCGCCGACTTCCTCGAGTACAAGTGCCGTTATTGCTGTTCTGTTAGTACCGCTTTCTACTCATTATACGCTTAGTGGTTTTTTTATGTGATATTAAAAGAATAAAAAGTTAAACGTAGTTGATTGCACCATTGCAATACTTCATTATTTTTAATGTACAGGTGGCGGTGTTCTTCTGTTTCGGCACATCGCACTTCTGCAATGCTTGCCACGACGACTTCCAAAGAGTTACCAATATCCCCAAGCATTTACTTCCACAGTGTCCTGCTGGTACGTACATTTGAGTTATCAATTTATAAAGAAAGATTTTCATCTTGAATTTATAGTAAAGCTGGCTAATGATCAGTATCATGTATTTATATTTCCCAAAGTATTATTAGACCGTTCTGTAACTCTCGTGTAAATAACAACTGTTTTAAATTCATTAAATAATGTACTAAAATATTAGAGTAGTGGCGATCTTATTCAAAATGGATAATTCGTTTTTCAGGGCCAAAAGGCGAACAACTGCCCGGATCGTCGGAAGAATGTCCGCTGCATGTGCAACATCCTCCCACGGGCGAAGAGTTCGCTCTCGGCTGCGGCGTCTGTCGCCACGCTCACGCTTTCTGAAGAAACCCTCACCGCTCCACGCGAGTCTAAAGCCGGGTATTCATTAGGCATTTGTTGCTTAACATGTTTACAATGATGAACGTACTTAGGTTCAGCAAAATTCTTAAATTCGTGTAGTGGTAACGTTGTGTAACATGTCAATTGTTGCCTACTGAATACCCGTCTTAGTCGCTGCTATTCCACACTTCACGATCTTCTTATTTACGTGTTTACCATTACTGGCAATATTTTACTTACTGCTTTTTCCTGTCAAAGGTATCTGATAAATGAAAGAGGTGTTTTCATTGGGACTTACTTATTGTTGCTGTACATCACTTAATAATTTGTTACTACCGTGCGTCGTGACTTATAATTATGATTGTCTTTACACACGTCTCCTGTAGTACTCGAAATAATCAATTTATAAATATGACAAAACAAAGCTATAAATAAATTCTTTTGAGATTACATTATGTTTTTTTTGGAGTCATAGTATCGAATCTGTAGTATTCTCGCCCACCTACTGATATTACAGCTTTGTAGGTAACAAATTCCTCATAATAGCCATTGCATACTAAAGCTAAGGAATGATATTAATTCTGATAATTATGCAGACTTTGAAGGTGTCTTTAAATATTGAGCATACTAATTTGAAAACACGACGATCAGACAACTGGTGTGTCGAAAATACGAATGAGCAGTCACAAAAAGTACAACCGTCACAAAAAAACTCAAGTCGTTCCTTAGCAGTTTTTAATTAAAATATGAATCTATAAAGTCTGTAAAAACAAAACAAGTCATAATAAGTAGTACATTTATGGAAATAATATCAATTGATTTGCAGAACATGTGTTTATATTTCACTGGTTTTTAAGAAAGATTGTTACTTTAGTAGTGCTCATGTATATTGTATTATTGCTTTGTTGCAATGTTTAAGGCCTTCGTTTGGATTTGGTAAATAACTTTCCAAATATTGAGAAAGTGTACGAAAAATTACAAAGGAAAATCAAAGGGCTGGGAAGGTCCGCTGAGAAGTTCAATTCCCATCAAAACTGCTCACCATCAGTTCACATGCAAATCCGATGTGCTTCTCGGAGATACATGCTATCGGTTGCAACATACTGGTCTAGGATGAACTCAGATGCCGCATAAACTTTGTATATTGTTCAAATAATAAAAAAACTATATTTATTTGTAATCTGAATGAGTGATAATTATCTTTTAGGAGAATCAATTAACTATAACTAACTATAAAAACTAGTAATTATACGACAAAAATTGAGGGGATACCTTCCCTTCCCTCGGATAAATTCCATTTTAATATGATCGCCCGGGGGTCTGGGTTGAATTGTTAGCAATTTTCTACTGCCAAATTCATACCTTATCCGAACGCAGTTTTTAATACTAGTGACAACAGAAGTGTAAGTGTGATGCTATATATATGTGATAATCTTTTCAACGACCAGCTCGCAATTAATTTTGATTTCCCATTCAGGTAAGTCACATTGAATTGTTAAGAATGTTTGTTTAGTGTGTAATTGCGTGATGATAGCCGTTTGGGCGCTGTGTTGGTAATTAATATATTTATAGGATACTGAAAACGAATACTAACAAAACTGTATAATTTATGCCTACTGACAAATAGCTCAGTTTCTTTAAAACGTATATATTAGCAAAGTAACACAAACTTATCTTGATAAAATTAAGTCAATTGACATATCGTCTCGGCTAACACCGCGACCTTTCTTACGATTTTATACTCTTCAAGAGCGGTCAAAAATCTGGTTATGTCAATATAGCAATGTAGTGTTTATTATTTTACTCTCTTGCAGGTACGACCATGTGCTTTCGTTTTAAAGTAAAATTTATCTCGATTGCTTTTTACTTTACCTAGTAAAAAAATCCCAAACAAAGAAAATTTAGTGTTTCTAAAAATTCTAAAAATTATGTATTATTAAATATTTATTTAGAACATTAAATATTGCGTATTTTTATATTGTACTTAAATTGCCACTAGTAATAAATTTATTCCGAGTTTATGTAAAAAAATATTATACCACTACTAGTATTCCTCTGGAGCCAACGATTAATAGCAATATAGCACTTTTAGCGTGAGCTGTTACATAGCAAGTGCAAATCTTATACGTAAAATACAAACAACCTCACAGGACTGTTTTACTAACACCATAAACGACAACTTTGTTCCATGATATTTTACGAAACGTAATAAATTTATCAAAAATAAATTTTGATATTTTTCGTGGCACCATCTGACATATTTTAGATCTGTATTTGGTAGTCAGTTTGTAAGTTCAAACGTGCAAGAACCTTTCTTCTGTGCGCTAGCGCTTTCTTTTGTTAACGCACAGAGTTTCTATCGTTTAGAGCGGTCTATTTAAATGTTTTTACTTTTATACGAATGTAATTCTGATGTAATTAAAAGTCAGAATGAAAATGGTCCTGGGAGGTTGTTAGTATTTTACAAATAATCCTGTATATACCCACGGAACAAAAATAACAATATACCTTGCACGCACAGATAATTTATCCAAAGTTAACAATAAAACTGACACTATTGAGTTCGTCCATATGAAATCGATGCCAATCCTGTGTATGTACGTTCTTCGCACAGCTCAAAATTGTCCTAAAAGTATTTTTGCACATTGTAATAAATAAGTTCTATTTTAGGAGATGCAGGTATGTAGAAACAATTTCTGAGCTGTGTTTAATGTAACCGTTCCTTTAGGACTAATTCACGAATTACTGGTAGGCGCTATTTTAGTAATTTTTATACTCCGCTATAGTATCCTTTTTTGCGATTAAACATTTATTTCTTCAGTTTCTAACAAAGTGTAATGATGAGTACTAATGATTAAATAAATAATATAGTTACATTTACAAACCTGAGGCTGTAGTAAACTACGTAGATAAATAGTAATTATTTTAACCCATCATCATTGATGTGATCATTCTTTGCAAAATTCGCATGCGAATTAAGGAGGTCTTGAACCTTTGTAGTAGTTGTAAAAAGACATAAAAATCTCAATTATAATTGTGGTGTAAAAAAAGCTAATACTTTCAACTGTATGTTGTGTGAGTTTTTTTAAAATTGTACTATTATAACCACTTTTTGCACTTGTTATTTTCTATTCTTATGCAGTTGTCACCATTAATTTAAAAATATTTAACATAGAATTTATTTTCATTACACACAACTTCACTTTTAATTTAAATCGAACTATTTCTAGTGTACATTAAAAATATATGTTACTATTACTGTTTGTAGAATGATGTGACAAAAATAGTTATGAATATTATATACGATTATATAATTATGTTTAGTCTATGTTTTAGAGAGATTTGTTGTTTTTTTGAAAATTTACAATGGTGAGGAAGTTAAAAGGTGATGGATAAATAAGTGTTCTGTTATATGTTGGTTGCACCAAGATCTTTCAGTCGTTTCTTGCCTCAATGATCGTGCGAAACGAGCCCAAGAAGTTGCATGTTGTATGGAACAGATGTCGTTGTAAAATAGATACATTTATTGTGAGATATAACATCATTAGTTAACGAACTACACATAAAATATACATTATTAACCATTATATGAATGCACCTTAGATGTCTCCACATTGTAGGATATGTAGTTGTTAAGAAATTTTACAATAAAGCTTATCAAAAACCTAATCTGCCTTTTACATAATTTAATTTACAATTTAGTAGGTTAAACCTGCTCTACAAAAATTATAATAATAGGGGTTAAAGTATGAAATTGCCGATTTGTACTGAAAATCTAAACTGTTTATTTTTTAAATTTTTAACAAATTTATTTAATCAAAATAGTTGCCATTATTATCTATACATTGCTGCCATCTAATGGGAAGGTTATTAATGCCTTTGCGATAGAACTCCGACGATCTAGACTGCACAAACTGTGTGAAAGCATTTTGTACTGCCTCCTGGGAAGAAAACTTCTTGTCACGTAGATAATTGTCCAAATCACGAAAAAAATGGACTCCGTTGGAGCAAGGTCTGGTGAATACGGAGGATGACGAATGGTTTCTAACTGCAGTTCCTGAAGGGTCAAAATGGTTTCTCGTGCTGTGTGAGGTCTCGCGTTGTCGTGGAGCAATAATGGTGAAGATCGATTCATGAGTCGGGGCTGTTTTACTGCTAGTTTTGTCAACATGGTTCGGAGTTCGGCACAATAGACATCTGCCGTTATTGCTTGACCAGATCGGAGAAAACTATAGTGAATAACACCATGCTGAGACCACCAAACAGTTACCATTACCTTTTTATTGGTAAGTTTTGCTTTAGGACACTGTTGTGGCATTTGACCTGGGGTCAGCCATTGCATTTTTCTTTTCCGGTTATCATAAAGAATCCACTTTTCATCACATGTTACAATTCGATCCAATATTCCTTCATTTCTGTACCGGTTCAACAAGGCAACACAAGTTTCAACACGCGTTTCTTTCTGCAGATCAGTCAAATCATGAGGCACCCATTTTTCGTATTTTTTTATTTTATTGATTTGACGCAAGTGAGTCAATATTGTGGGTAAGGTAACGTTAAACCATGCCGCTAATTCCTGGGTAGTTTGACTAGGATCGGCTTCCACTATCTCTCTTAATTCATCGTTATTCACCTGTGTGGGCGGTCTTCCTCGTGGCTCGTTCTTTAAGTCGAAATTTCCATCACGAAAGCGTTTAAACCAAAATCGCACGGTGCGTTCATTAGTAGACCCCTCTCCAAACGCAGCATTGATATTGCGGGCTGTTTCTGCCGCGTTAGTTCCGCGTCGGAACTCGTATTCAAAAATCACTCGAATTTTCGCAGTATCCATCTTTCTTGTCTAAATTGAATAACAAAAACAATTGAAAGTCGATATTCAAATGTTTCAAATTTAAAAAAAAAAATCACAGAAACCATTTGAAAAAAGTTTCATTCGAAAACCTCAAAGCATGAAGATTCTATGAAAATTCAAAGAACCTATTGCAATAAAACGGCAATTTCATACTTTAACCCCTAATATTATCCTCCCTTAATACGCACAAGTCACCTCTTTATAAATGTAATTGGCTTGTTGTTTTGTGAGACAAATATAATATTTATTCTTTCGAATGAAAATACCAGAAATACAATGTCGAGAGTAGTGTCTATTTTGTAAAGTGCTCTGATGCACAGTAGCGGGAATGTGTTGTTTATAAACCACTCGTTGACTATCAGATGCTTTGAAGTTGAGTTAATTCGCCATTGCATCGGTGCTGTTGTTGTCATTTATCTCTTACGGATTGACCACTTGAGCGGCAGTGTGACAGATAAAGTCCGCACCGTTAGATCGATATTGTGCTGTGATACGATATTCAATTTTATCTAAGAGTTATCTGAAATGTTGCAAAACGCTCTCAATGTTGTTCTCCTTTTATTGCATCTAAGTACCGATAGTCAGATGTTTCGTCATGAAGAGCGCAGTGATGTGAACTGAGTTAGTGCATAATATATTCATAAAAATGTTCAATTTGATAAGTGTAAAGGTAATTGCAATATTTCTCTTGCGGCGCTTCTATATATGTTCGTTCTTTGTTACGCTTTGCGAATGTTGCATAGTCACCAACTAGAGGAAATGAAACATCTTGTGCTATTGCCATTTTTATGCTCGCGTATTTGATTGCTCGTGAATAAATTCTATTTTGATTTGATCACATTAGTGCAAATAACATAATATTGAAACTTTGCGACTTACCTTTATTTAAAAACAACGATATTCCGCACCGCATATTTTTAAAAGGAAATATATTTGTTAATATCTGTATTCAATTGAAAAAATACTTTACAGAACCATGTGAGCATTATGCTCATTAGGGCTCATTTATGCACCTTGGCCATTGCTGTGAGTTTCAACAGCGTGTGGCGGGCTCCCATGGATTCGTTCCGTTATGGAGGATTGCAGTTCTTGCTAGTTCAGTCAGTGGCTATGATATTCGTAGCTTTACCGGTGACATTACTTCAACTGGCTATAGGACAGCTTAGCCAGCAAGATGCTGTTGGCATGTGGCGCGCTGTACCGTTTTTTAAAGGTAAAATTTGCGTAATGGGATGTACAGGTCTAATTAAAGGGTTTAATAATATTTTGAGTTATGGAATAGTCCACAACACTACAACTAAAACTAGAATAAAAAAAAACATACGATATATTTTTTAAATTTAAGTCGCTTCATACAAATTTTCCGTTACATGGATATTAGTGACCTGTGACCTTTTGTAACAAATTGTGTATACTTATTAGAATGAGATTTATAAAACGAACTTTGACGACTAAGCAAAAATAGTGAGCTAAACACGTTTTTGGTATTTATAAAACGAATTTTGCGCACATTATATTAAACGGTGTTCGTAATTTCTTATTTAAACTAGCACAAAGTTCGTTTTATAAATACGAAAAACTTTCTCACCATTTTTGTTTAGTAGAAGTCAAAGTTCGTTTTATAAATCTCAGCCTTAAATATTATGTGCAGACTATACAGGCAAACATTTTTACGCCATCTGCCTCAAGTGATGTCACGCAAGTAACTTGATTGTTATTATGATGATGAAATATATCTTATATTTTATATAAATAAATACTAATGCTTTTAAGTAAAGAAGAAAGATTAGTCATACTTCGAAATATATTGAAATCATATATGTACGAACACACCTATACCTATTTTAAGTAAAAATTTCACTTTTGGTTACAGGAGTGGGTTATCTAAGATTGTTGATAACTTTCGTGGGTTCCATCCATACACTTATCTATGTAGCACTGACTGCGTCATATTTCCTTTTCACGTTAAGCAATCCTGTGCCTTTATTACAATGCACTGAATTAGAAGCGACAAACATGGTATGTATTACCGCTTGTTACCAACATTTTCTTAGCGCATTCATATTCTTTATTTATTAAGTCACTCGTCGTAAGGTCGAATGGGCCGCACGAATTTAAATGAGATATGGTGGATTTGGGGCGTAAAATACATTTTCAGTCGTACTGTAGCCATGACTACTGAAATTACTTGAGTACATATTACCCAACAGTGGAACTGATAGCAGTAGTTTTATTTTTCCTTGTATGTAAATATTGACTTATGTAAAACAGCAAATTTTCCATAATACATTTAAATTAGTGGTGATCGAACAACCATCACATAGAATACTTTATGTCCTAAATGGCGGCAGAAATTAGGTTGTTATATTTGAGTCGCCGTGCATGCGTCAGTGGTCAACTATTTCCACTAGCACCTATGTGACGCAAGTTATTTTATGGTTCTATCATTGTACTTATTTCTACTTACGCTATATGTAAGTAACTACGCTCAAGTAACACAATAAAATGTAATAAAAATAGTAACTTTATTTCCTAATTAAGATAATTTGAATCATGAAATTCTACGTAAGGTATAAACCAAAAGCGAAGTAAGCTCTTGGTTTAATTTAAACTCTTGGACGTTGGTACAGATAGAGAAATTTTTTGTGATGTTACATTTAGCTTTATTTCGCACTAAGTCAGCAATTCAGTGTCTATTGTATAATTTCAGGATGACTACAAAAATGAAGACAATTTATGTGCAAAGTGAGTTCATTTTACATTTGTTTACATCAACGTATATTTTGTAATTGTTATTCGCTCATTACTTTATTGATTGAGTTCTATTGTGGACAGTCGTGACAGTGGTGAAATAAGGTACTTGAGGCCTTAATAAGCCTTTTATACTTTGTTGTGAAATTATACTGAATAAATAAAAGATTTACTTCGTGGGCGTTGAATCCAACGATTTCTACTTGACGCTCAGACTGTGCTATTTAAGGCTTAAGGCTGATTTACATTAATCCAACAGCCTAAATTACTCACTACGTAGAATTGATAAACAAGTAATGTAAAAATATTTCGATCTATTCAGAGCAGTCTCTTCTTCTCTGGTTCATCTGTCATCACAAATCGACATGAAATTGCGTAGAACTGGGTACAGGATAATTTAATCACTGTAGCGTCGACTCTACAATTTCTAACACTTTGTAAAGTTATGAATAGAATAAAGTATGTCTTTTTCAGTTATACTATAGCTACGAGTGTGCCGCTTTTTCAATTACCTGAGTACTACATAGCAGTGGGATTGATAGTAGCTGCCCTGTGGATTGTTTTTCCTTTCGTGTAAGTATATTATATGTTTCTGTAAGGTATTGGTGAGCATTTAGATACCATCATATCTGATGGTAAGTGTGTCTGATGGTGTGGTGATAGATCATACTTGCCTAGAAAAGAACGACTATGATTAATTCAATATAACAGATTTTCTGCGATCACTAACTCGTCTCCCAAGTGTCGACGAATCCTTTTTTTCGAGAGTTATGGAAACGTTAATACTTGCATGTGTATTAATTATCCAATATTTTCCAAAGTTTTAAGATATTTTACATTTGGCTTTCAAGTTATAGTGTGTATAGTGATAGTGACAATATGTTGTGGTGTAAAATAGGTCAGGCATCCAAAAATAGGGTTGCCAGAGCCTTTTATGTAGTTTGCAAATAATGGTGGTTTTTGTCACACAAAGATAAAATATACTGGTTTTATTCTTATACCCTATGACGTATAGTTCATATTGGTCTGCACTTCGACTGATAGACCACCACACTTACCTAATGCGTATTGGGGTCTTTGTATTTGAAAAGTTTAAAGTTTGTTTACCTCTGTTATAAAAAGTTCGTAACCATAGACTAATATTTTAGGCTCTACAATCCATTGAAATGTATGAAGCGGATATTCTACGTTCTAGGCCCGTTAGTATTTACGCTACTAGTAATTGTAGCAGTAGCTATGGGACACAAAGAGGGCTTGATGTCAATCTACAACGCAACATATTGGCGTAACTTCGTTGAACCGAGGATTTGGCACGACGCTTTGACTCAGGCACTCTGGTCATCTCAGATTGCTGGAGGGTACTTAGTCTCTGCCGGTAGTACCGTTTATTCGAATATTGATGTTCATTGGTAAGTTATTAGAGTTTAATCCAATGGTTTGTAAGTTCGACTGTGTGACTAAGTTGTTTGGATGTTTGTTTCTTAATAATGTTATGTTGTATCGCAGTCTGATGTACGTAAAATTATAAGTACTTCTTGAAAATCGTGCTCTACATCATTTACACGACGTTTGATAGTTTAAAAAGTGCCATTGTGGACCACTGCGACTGATTGTATTACAAGTGAACGTTGTCTTAAATAATCGTAATACAAACTCTTTGCATAATACAAACTCAACGAGTTGTAAATTCATTTGCGACTCAAAAGGTAAATGAGATATACATATTTTTCTAGCCTATAAAGAAAGAATCAATTCACTTAACTTACAAGCTTATCGACTCAGTGATGTTTAGAAAGTTTTGTTTTCAGGACAGCGTTGATATTGGTTAGCGCGAATATTGTAGCCAGTTGGCTTGGAACCATATTATGGTTCGCTATTATTGATCCTACACTCAAAGATAGTTCTGGATTATCGCTGCTGGTGCAAGCCCATTTTACAACCCATAATAGAGGACTTCCCATAGAGTGGTCAATGGTTTTATTTGTTACAATATTCATATCGGGAATAATAAGTATGGTGAGAATAGTTGGTTATTACATTATGATAAATTTGATATTTAATAAAAATTGTATATACAAATCACGGGTTTACGCGATTGCTTTCTTTCGCTACGTTGTTGCGAATACGTTGTTATACCAAACGTGTGCTATGGATAGCCGTAACGACATCGATGTGTATTATTAACACATATAGTCAACAATCATGTAACACAGTGATACCATACGAGGTAGGGTACTGTTCTGAGGGACACGACAGATAATAACGAATGTCAGTTAGGGAGGAAAATACCAACCGCCGAAAGTTGTTTTCAATAGATTCGAAAATACTCCATAGTGTCGGTAGCAGGCGGAAGTGGTGCTGTGTTATGTCATCTGTCGTGTCTTTCAAAATAGTAACTTCAAGTATTTTTTTATTTTTCAAATGTAGCTCATTATGTGTTTCATTTTTTCAGATTATTTTACTCTATCCCATATACGATCGTTTTAATCGCATCGGTGGTCGTAGATGGCGATTTGTATCATTTGCATCGTCGTTTGTGGGTATTGTACTTACGCTAGGGGTGTTATTACTGCGCTTGCCTGCATTGCACATTCTAGAGAAAATTGTTGCACCTTTCATCATAAGCTTTTCCACGATACTTGAGATTACAGCTTTTGTTTTTATTTATGGTAAGGATATTGAATTATCTCGTAAGCTCTTAGTCTGAGATTTATAAAACGAATTTTGACTGTGACTAAGTAGAGGTGGCGAGTAAATCAAGTTTTTCGTATTTACAAAACGAACTTTGCCTAAGTTTAAGCTAAAAATTGTGAAGTGAACTTAGAGTTTAATTTAATTTCTTAATGTAACGCAAATTTCACTTTGTAAATGCGAAAAACTAACTTTGCCCGCCATTTTTGCTTAGTAATAATAATATAATAATAATCAACATTAACAAATTACACCCAATCTCACGAGAGAAATAAATGTAGGCCATACAAATATTTTTCCCGGCCCGGGAATCGAACCTGGAACCTCTGCGCGGCAGTCCGGTATGGTAACCGTTCGGCCGCGGAGGCAGTTAGTCTAATCAAAGTTCGTTAAGTTTAAGCAAGAAATTGCAAAGTAAATTCAAATTTTAGATTAATTTCTTAATCTTACGCAAAGTTCGTTTTGTAAATACGAAAAACTTGCTTAGCCTTCCATTTTTGCTTAGTCTAATCAAAGTTCGTAAATCTCAGATATGAATAAATAATATGTATGAAGAATAATAGATTATATGCTTGAAGTAAATCATAGCCACATTATAGAATTTTAAAGAAGTAATTTGTCTCACTGACTACACGAACACTGGTATGGTAATCGTAGCACAGTTTTAAAGTCCATTAGTAACTTGTTATTGCCTTAAAATTCGGTAGGTGAAAGATAAAGAATCTTAAGTGCCAAACAGTAATTTTTAGGTAGTGCGTTTTAAAGAGAACGAGGCTCTTAATTAGGCATTTAAAATCAATCCTAAGGTCAAATAAATTGTGTTAAATAAAAAACAAAAGACAGAAGAAAGAAAGACAGGACTTAAAGTCTTTTACCATTGCGTGATTTTAGCAAACCAATGTTTGTAAAAAAAATAATTTCGATAATATGCACTTTATGTTCTTTACTTCTCAAGTACAAAATTAGTAAATTATCTACATTACGATGCGCATAAGTTCATGAACATTTTGAGTCATTTTATTGTCTTTTTGTATCAACAGTAATTTTTTTAAAGATATTATAACGGAACCCTACTAGCCATATTATGAGTAATTTGTTTATTTGACGATCGCTAGTGTATTTTGTGTGATGTTAACTCCTTGGATAAATAGATATCTAACGTTTTCGCCATTGTCATAGTAGAATAAGACAAGTAGCTTCCGTCCACACGCCTACACTTCCCTCGGAGTGTAGCGTTATCACATAATTTTTTTAGTTGTATCTACAGGTTGTAAACATAATTTGAAATTATTAAGTTATTCATTACAGTACTTTCGTGCTACATTGAAATAAGATTTGTTAATTTTTTTAAAATACCAAGTCACGGGACGAACAAGTTGTGCGCTTGATGGTAAGCGACACGCCTATCCATAACAGTCGCAGTACCACTCAGAGCTTTAAATAGCAAAGATCCTAGGGGCACTTTCATTGCGCCTGACACCCCGAGACATTTCAACATAAAGTTGACAAGTCCCATGTGCGTGTAATTTCACCAGCACCCTTACCCGTTCAAATCGGAACGCCTTCATGCTCACATTACTGCTTGGCGGCAGAAATAGGTAAGGTCGCGGTACTTCTCTAGACGAACTCTTTCACAAGGAGCTCTACTGCTAGTAAATACAGTAATTAGCAACGCAGTTGGTGTCTCGATTATGGGAGTTTTATTTTTTAAATATGAAATAGAAATGAAATCCACAACAATTTTGAGTTTCAATTTCTAGCAACAATAAACACAACGTGAGTGCACTTCGAGGCTATGCGATTGTGTGCGTCCGCATATAACGCGCGGCGGGCGTGCACACATATAAGAGACGTTGCTACGTTTGTATATATAGTTACACTACTGCCCTATTATACTATGGCATTGTAGTCCGTGTCTATAATTTATAGTATTGTTTTGTAGTCACAACCTGCATAAATGAATGCATACCCAAGCGGATCTTTGTCAAATGAACATACTTATATCATCAACAGGTTGGAAGTCTGTCGTCGAAGATGTTGAGTTTTTATGTGGCGATAAAATGAAAAAAATCTGGGTTCTCGGTTGGTGTGCTACGCCTGGCATTATAATTCCGTTCTTGGTTTGGTGGATGGTGAAAATCATTATAGAAGATTATACTTCTTGGGAGAGCATCGCTATGCTAACATCCGCTGGGTTCGCCATAATCACCTTCTTCTTATTTGCATTATTCACAGTATTGCGACAGGAACAATACGACTGTTTTAGTGTAAGTGTACCCTTATTTAAAACACACTTTTTGACTTTTAACGGACAAACGTGTCCTATTTCTTGCCTTTAATGCACACAGTGTCGTTGCGAATTAAAAGTACCTTATTATACCTTTTCCTTAATATGTATTGCTTGACCTTGTTTAACGTGACCGTAAATACGATTTCCTTTTTTTATTTCCGGTGAAGTTAACAAATTCAAGACACAAATATGTCTTTCACAGAAATTCTTGGCGTCGTTTAAACCTTCAAGACACTGGGGCCCTCGGGATCCCATCACACATTACTATTGGCTGACGCGGCGTGAAGAGGACCGAGGTACTGCAGTTCGGAGTCGGTACCACGGGCGCTACTTGAACCAGCTCCAGGAATTATCCGCGACCGACCCCAATTACGACTCATTAGGAAATCCAATTGGGAAAGTGAACGCAAAGCAACAACGTACAAATTCTGACGATTTGGTTTTCACAATATACAGGAGGCAGTATATGAAGGATCAATACGATGATATCTTTGATATTCAGAAACAACGTCCTAAGTCTTTGGACTGGGACGTTCCTGCCAAGTTGAGTGAAAGAGATTTCAAATATAGAGACAGTACATTAGGCACTAGAAAGCTATCAATGGTGCAGATTAAAAAAGTAGTACCTGTAAAAGTAAGACGTATATCTCTTGAGCCTAGATGATTGACAATATACATGCAATAGCACTGTATAGATCTAGTCAAGATGATAATGTGTGGTCGTCTAGTTTTTTAAAATAAATATTTTAACATAATGTTTTATATTCCATGTCCGATTTTCCTTGTGATTAATATATCGTATGACCTATCAATGCCGAATTGTGACTAGTCTCTATGGTCTACGTGACTTAGGCCTACTTGTATATTGACCTTCCTTTAGGAAGATGACTTGGTACTCTTACCACCATTTACGGAGAACATCCTTTGTTGCTTGATAAGATATTCCCCTCACATAGGCGTGGCGTCACGATGCTCACTGTAAGGACATTCAAGTAAAAGAATCGGTCATCAACTATAAGGCCTAAACACACTATTGTTTTTTAATACATTGTTACAAAGCAAATGCAATTTATGTTATGTATGTATGTACATTGGACATATTTTTAAGCAGTAACTTGTGAGTTTTTTTTATTATATATTTATAATAAAAAAAATCCTCTGGCTACCTAAAATTTGAACTAAAATTGAAATGTGCGTTTTGCAATACTTTTTTAGTATTTTCTAATTATGTTGTTTTTTTTTTCATGTAAGTGTCGCATGACTCTTTGAGTATTGAAGGTTAGACATAAATTGACCATTTTGGACGTGTATTTTTATTTGAAGAAAGTGTCTTCTTGCAAGACAGCAATTAACTTGATTAAATTGTAACGAATCCTGCACTGTATAGAAGCTTTTGTCTAGGAGTCACATTTATTCTAGTAGGATGGAGGGAGACAGTTGATAGTAAACACGCCAGCATATCAAGCTCCACATACGTACGTAAGAAGTATCTTGTTCCGTTGCAATGGAGGTGATTTTCGAACAAAAATGTGTAGTCTGATGTGCTGTTGTCCGTACATTAGCAGGAGCACGAGGATATAATTTATCCTGAAAGTAGAAGCATAAGGACGTAATAGTCCTCATGCTGCTACCAGTGGGAGCATCCAGTACAGTGGCGGATTTGTAGTCTTGGCCGCCTAAGGCCTCAGGCCATGTAGTCAGCACCAGCTGCCGCTTTTTCAGCACTCATTATATACTGGTACACTACATAATGAATTTACTTTACTGCCAACTTTTATCGAAATCGAATCAGAAATTTAGTTAACTATATTAGCTGATGGTTTTTAATATTTTTGGAGGTTTCAGATTTAAATAAAACATTTTAAGCGGTTTTTTCACGATCAGCCGCCCCTAAAATCTGGCCGCCCTGAGCCCGGGCCTACTGGGTCTTAAGACAAATCTGCCATGACCCCGTAGGTGCATGAGGAAACGGTGGTACATTGGTTGATTATGTTGGAACCTAATATATTAACCAGTATAAAATGAAATATATTAACCAGTATAAAATGACAAGAGCAAAGCAATGCGTAAACATGTTATGCTGGAATAAGGTTTTATTTTTAAGTTTATTGCATAATTTATGTTGTCAGGTACTAAATACATTTTGCCTTTTTAGCTCGACGTGATCAGGGTTATTACTATAGCTATGTGTATAAATATTTTATTGCAATGCGGTACTGTGAAGACCTTGCTTTAAATTTTGACGCCATTCAACAACCATTGATAGTAGCTAGACAAGAAATATAACATCAATGACAGTAATTACGCCCCTGCTACCGAGAGCTGATATTCTTTTTTAAATTATAAAGTTTTTTTATATTCATCAGTGCGGTCACTGGTACAAATATGGAAGGCATTTTTTGGCTACCTTGTGGTTAAAGAGACATTTAACAAAAATGTTCTATATTGGTCGGGTACGTGTGAGTACACGACCAAAAAGTATCGTAGTAACAGTTTGTGAAAAATAATTTTACCATATTACTACTATGGTTTTTTAATGTTCGTGCACAGTCTCTGTAAAAATGTAAAAACTGGAACGTTTACTGATATTAATGGTCTGGTGAGACCCCCAATTGTCCAATGGTTTTAGGATTTGAAAATGGATGTTGACCAAACAACGACAATAAGCTATCGTTTTTGAGTCTTAATTATTTTATTACCTACATATGATTATTGTTGTGGCATGTGGCGAACTGGTGACTCACTGTAGGGGCGTCAATGTTCTGCATGTAACCAGTTCAGAATATTCAAAAGACAAAAGGAATGTCGATTTTCGAACATACTCGTGTTAACGAACTTGCTTTTGAAATTTACAAATCCAGGATAACAAGTTCTACTAAATTGACTGTAAAATTATGATTTTAATGAGTAACTAAAAGACATAGTTTGATTTTATATAGAAAGCTCGGGTGGGTTAATATGCAAAAATAGCTCGAGTCATAAAGGAATAATGTCGGAAATGGCAAGCGAGTGGGCGGCCGAGTACTCAGCAGCTGTGTCACAAGTTAGTTTCTCAGAATGACCACAGAAAAGTTACTAATACGACCTTTAAAGGCGTTTTAGTGTTTCAAGAATTTCATACATTGTTATGTAACATGACAGGAATTTTTAAAATGTGAACATCATACTGTAAGGACACACAAGATATCAACCTTTTATCTTTAAGGTTTGAACTAGGCGAGTTCAAACTTTGAGATCCAAAATCAGGAATTACCTACATAAAGTTCCGTCAAAGCAGGTAAGTACTGCAGAAAAATTCAAAGACTACATAACAAGCTATAATACATTCAATGCAAAGTAATTTCTGCATAATACAGATGCGCATTAACAGGAATCTTCCCCTAAGCCCTGGTATTTTCTTAATCGTCATCATCTGTATCGGCTTCCGACAACAGGTTCTGTGATGCGCCGTTCACGTACACTCAGCTAGCTCACTGACTCCCGCGCATTCGAGTGTCACGCTGCGTGCGAAGCGGATCGCTCTGCGGTTACGGTCGTGCGCGAGTGTTACTGAGTAACTAATAAAAGTAACAGATTTAATATTGGTCTAAATAACCGGTGATGTCGAAGGACAGCTCCAGGTTAAGCAGGCTAGGAGTCTTGGCTCCAGCTGCATTGTCTGCATGCATGGATGCATCGGTCTTGGCTGTACCGGCCGCCGGGGCGATTGTCTCTACAGTACTGAAAGAGCTAAGCAAGGCTTTTATGCTGAAAAAGTAAGTAATTACACAAACTAATCCTTACTTTTTACTTATATAAAAAATAATTGGCTCAGAGTTCCTGTGCAATAAACGTTATAGTTTGCATTGTACAATAATTATAGTAGACACATTAGAATTCTACAAATTTTTGTTCAATAAAATTTACGAATTTGTCACGGTATAACATTTTTACAGTTAATGTAAAATTGTACTTACAATTTCTGCTCTATAAAGGTTTTCACTTGACAGGGTCAAAATTATAGATACAAGTTTAGTATACACATATTAAATTGTAATGAAATCTGAGTCCTTAATCTTTAATGTTGACGATGTGAATGGTATTTATTTAGGTACTATGTAAATTTAAGAACAATTGTGCACACATATAGAGTAGTGAGAGCAGGGATAGCTAAAATCAAAACTGACTAAATATCTCACTTTTGTTTTCATAAATTTGGGATAAGTTGTGATTCTCCATCGAATCTTAGTATTAAGTACTGAATAATAATCATTAAAACAAAATAAAACGCGAATTAAAAAACGAAAATTCATTATTGCTATTCCCATTAAAATAATTCATCAAAAATAAGTTACATTTAAGCAACTTACATCGTCACATATGTCAACTATTCGTCGGATATAGCGGTGCAGTATCTTTTTACAAATTCATATGGGTATACCTAGATATTAATTACTTTTTGCTTGTCGTTATTATGTCTAAAATGTTTTGACTTGGTCTTGCGATTGTGCATTTCTGATTTTGTGACGAATAAGCAAATGTAATGAAAATTTTATTTTAAATGCAACTATCGAGTTATCGTATTTATAACACAACTTTTTAACTGCGCTGTAAAATGTTTTTAGTATTCTGTATATACTTTTCAATATTTATTGCTAATTTTTTTTTAAATGCTACTACTAAATGCAGAACAAACAAACGGAACTGATATAATTAATGAGTTTGTGAAGAATGGCATGTAGTTGAAATTTTTGTGTAAATAATTAACTTCTTGGCCATCTTAACCCGTCTTATATACCGTATATTGGCTAGGTAAGCACCATTCAAGTAAAAAATTAAGTTTAAATGATTAATATTTGTATTACGTTAACAATATCTGCACATTGAAAAAGGTTACAAAAATATTTTCGTATTAAATCACAAATCTGTCTATTGTGTTGATCCGTAATATCCATAACTTGGACTTTATAGGTGTAAAGACAATATAAATTTACTATTTCTTTTGCTGTCAATTGGGTATGCAATGTAATAATAAGTACATATTACGTGGAAAAGTAGCTAGCTCACATTTTTGTTAAAATTTAAACACTTGGAAGATTAATTTTATAAACATATTTTGAAAATAGTAAATGAATTTTCAGGTTTTAACTTTTATCATAAAATATTTGACATGCAATATTGTTTTTATTTGGTTTTTATATATATCCATGTGAAGGAATGAAAAACAAGTAGCTACTGTTACTAGTTGTTATTTTTTATTAAAACATTTATTCTTTCGCACTAGAACCCAAATTAGGTTAGAACAACTTTATCTTTACTTATTTATTTAATTTCTTTTTATGGATCTTACTGCTAATTTTACAAAATTATATATATGTATATATACGTACATAGAGAGAAGTTATGTGTGTGTCGAATGTGAATTCATCTTCATTTTTATGTGAACTCGTAAATTCGTATTTATTAAATTTTAATTCTATTAGTGAATTTTTTCTTTTTGTCTGATTTTCTTGCATGCATGTGAAGAATGTATAATATTATTCTTTATGATTTCTTCTCATAATACCGCAATATCAAAATAATGTTATTCTTTCATTGGATATGTATTCAGACTCGTACTGAAGTGACAACAATAAATGTGCCTACAGATTTAATGACGCCACGCGACTAAACACAACTGTTATGGAGTTCAGTGCGAGTTCAATACCTATTTTAGTTAGGTAATTGAGTTTAAGACTGTTGCGGTATGTATATTAAATGTGTGTCTACAAGGACTTTCTTATTAATTCTTCTTAGGGAAATCTGCGTTAAGAATGATTGGTAGAGTAAGGTAGAGAGATGATTTCAATTTTAATTTACTTACCGTACGTATTTTGACGTTTAGTGACGAATTTGAAGTTGATTGAATATCAGAGGCTTTTATAAGGTACCTGAGTCGAATATGGCCAGCCGATTAATATGGCCACATACCAGTATCTCTAAAAATATGCAGCGTACAAAATCTAACAAGCTCCTGTATGTTCGGTTACGGGGTTCGCATAACAGCGACCCTCACGCTCACGCCTTTCGCCCAGAAGTATCAAAGTCGGAGGACGCATCGCCGCTATAAATTTTATGAGTAAGTTTTGTGTAATATTTTTGTTTATATCGACTTTATTGTGTTTCATTTATCATTTTTTGCTGGTGTAGTAAGAGTAGATGATATTTCCGTGTGATTTGCTTCTAATGTTGTTTGGTTTTCAAAGTGTGAGTGAAAGAAAAAAAAAGGCATATATCTGAAGGCATATATATGCCCTCCACTATTTACCTGCACCTGATATTGGCCAAATTTCCTTATGATTTTTGGAACCTAGCATAGTGTTCTTTTTAACAATGAGAGAGGGTTGATGTAAGTTTGAGGCTATAGTGTAGCTGTTTACTTAAATCTGTGGTAACTCTGTAGTAAGGGGTGATCTGAGCAGTTTGATTTGCGTGAAAGCAATAGTTTTGGCTATGTTTGGTAAAAAACTAGCGCAGATGTTTGTGTTGAATAGTAAATTTGTTTTATTTGTTGTAGGTCATGGGTCGCTACAATTGTAAAAGGATTCGGGTCACTGAGAGTGGTACGAAATTAGCGTATATTTTAATTCGTTAGGTATTTTTATTCATTTTCCATAAAAGTGTATGCTATTTAAATAATTATAGAATTTTAAATTATCTGTAATTTAAGAATAAATGGTTCCATATAGTTAATTTGGCCATGGGCATATTTACTTACAGGGTGAAAAATATGGCCTCTCTCATTAGCACATTTATAAAGGGTCTATTTTTATGTCAGTGTTGTTTGTTTCCATTATTATTCACAGAAATGCAAAATCGTGTTAGATTATAATAGAATAGAGTAATATTTTCCATACAGTAAATATGGTCGTTTGTATGACTATATTTACGTACAGGTTTGTAAATATAGCCACTTTTGCTTTTTTAAAAGTAAAAATTGCTTTTAAGTTACATGCGTTTGGCATTCTTTTATACTAAAATATGAAACTTAGATAAATACCCTGTAAAAGAAAGAAATCGAATTTGAAATTTGAACTATTACCAGTTTTATTAGTTCGTATTACCCTGTATATGCACCTCTGTACAATCATTCAAAGGTAAAAATTATATTTATGATACCCCTCGCCGTATTCGGCGATATCGATCAGGCACATGTTGGTTTGGTACACAACATTAAAACACACGGCCTGGTACTTTGTTATTATAAGCAAACTTAGTAAAATACAGTTGTAAAATATCTTTTAAAATATAAATGATATTTTAGTTTAGAAAACTCTTAAAAATATTACCTTTCTATGTTTTTATAATATAGTTATAAACAAAAACGGAATGAGATTATTTGTACTTAGGCTGCGATTTGTAAAACGAACTTTCGCCTCTACCACGGACGAATAACTTATGAAGACAGGTAATCTCTATACTACACACATCGTACTCTGATAAAGGTCAAAATCCTGTCTTATATCCAGATGGCGCTGATCAATAGCCTGGAAGTCCTTTGTATAAATATCAATTAATATGAATATCAGTTAATTGCTCTTTACTATGTAATGTAAGTGGTCAGTTTTTTTCTTTGTGATATTATTAAAAAATTGACCGTGAGCTAAAATTATTTTCTGTACTTTAAAGCAATATGTCTATCAATGGTAAAAATTAACGCTTGCTAATATGAGTAGATGTCGCTAATCCTATTAAAATAAAAGATTAGCTTGCAGTATCCATAAAAATCTGTACAATAAGCGCCGTCTAGTTGATTTAACTGTTATCACTAGAAATTAGAAAAATGAAAAATAGTTTATTTTCTACCATCACAAACTACAAAATTCTTACAATACAATATAATTCTTACGTTTTTTCATAATTGTGTACCTTAAGCCATTTAGTGATTTTATTTTTGTTTACGTTTTACATGAATTTACTATATTTATTTTCGAGTTCTTAGGTTTTCGCGATTGTTATACATAGGAAATGAAACTATTTTTCCGGATTTAAATCGCGTATATTTGTTTTGACTTGTCAGTCAACCGTGATCATGGGACCTGGTTTTGTTTGAAAAAACAGATATACGCGAGTTAAATCCGGAAAAATAGTTTCATTTCCTATACATTTATTTTTTATTTATAAAATTGTACAATCTCCCACTTCTAAAATGATGGAACCTCGACGCAAAAGAAACCATATTTGTTTTACATACTGCATAGGATCTTGTGTCTGTGGATACTCTAATATAATTATCAATAAGTATATTGGAGTTTTGTCGAAGTACAAGTATGTAGAATATAAATTTGACGAACAGAGAGAACATCTGCATCTTGATAAAGTTGCGCCGTCGTAAATCTTCGCGGCCTAAACAAGCATACTTTCAGCGACACTCTCTGTGCTCTATCCAATTCCATCATCGCAGACTTAGTGAGCAGGTTTGAAAAAATGCAGTTCGTCAATGTAAAACAAATTAATTACATAAATAGCTATTTTGTACTCGTTGCGATAGCTGAGGTACCAACAGGTACTAAACACCCGATTGAATCTTGTATCGCGATTAGTAATCCTCTTGAGTTATTGGTTAAGCAAAAATGATGAGCTAAGCAAATACTTCGTTGCTTAGCTCGCCATTTTTACTTAGTCGAAGTCATCGAGTATTTAACTGGAAATTTTTTTTTTTTCCATCCTCTAAGCCAGAAATAGAGATGAAATGTCATTTAATTTGTGGATACTAAGGTTTGAAGACTATTCTGCC